TTTGCCCTTATTTCTGGGGATACCCTGTGGAGAGGTTAAAGGAAGGGTGTTTACGCAGAAAGGTCATTATATTATGTTCCCCTATGTACATATCAAAACAACAAAAAAAAAAAAAAAAAGGAGGCACACATGCACACATACATACATGCAGAAAGCACAACGAAAAATTAAAAATTGTTAAAACGGTAATACACTATAATGACGGTGATGCTTGTGTAAACTGTTTGAGAGATGTGAACAAATGGAAGGAGCTCCACAAAAAAAAACATTCGCGTATTTTTTACATAAACTGAAACCATTTTTCATTGGTAAAACATTCTACCTTTTTGCATTTTTAAACCTAAACCGAGTGTGTTATATGAATTTCTTTTCTCTTCTTTTTTTTGTTAATTTGCAACTACGGATGGGTATATGGCAAAGCTGAAAAAGCAGTTAAGGGTACTTTATAACTTCCCGAATAAAACAGCCCTGGAACATTGAAAAGGGCAAACCCTATTCTCTATGTTGCATAAAACAATGACATGAAAAATAAAAATGTCAAATGGGGTGTTATTGAATCCTTTATTGTAAATTAATTTTGTTGGTTTTATGCCGACGCATGTGTGTTGATGCTTCTTTCTTTTTTGGCTGTGTTGACGTGTGCTAAAAAAAATGGACAGGGAGGGCAGGAGGTCTCCCGAAAAGGGAGTGGATTTCCTGACAGTCAAAAATGTGATACTGCTAGGGTTCGGCGTTATATGTTTTATACTTATTTATAAGTTCATGAAATATCGAAAGAGAGTTTCGGAATTTGAGAGAAATAAGAAAATAGGTGAACATATGAAAATGTCAAGGGAGAAAAGGCTGCAAGAATTGGAAAAAGAAATGATGGTTAATAAACAAAAAATGAGCGAACAAATGAACAAGGCAGATGATAAAAAAGATAAAACATTAGACTCAGCCAAACCAAAAGCAGATTCCAAGGACGATTCGTCGTTCAGCCATTTTAGGGATTTGTCAAATTACTACAGGCCGTCCATAAGAAATAGGTTACGAGAAAAAATTTCACATGAATATGATGTTTCTCCCTCCAGGGGTGCACATGTGCACATGCATGTGTGCAGGCGTGCTTGCTCAACAGTCTACACATACATATACGTATACATATGAAGTTACATATATTTGCCCATTTTACATTGTGTTTCCCCCTTCGTAGGTACAAAAATACCTCCTGACGATAGCTTGGATGAATTAAAGAGCATAAAAAAAAAAAAAAAAAAAAAGTAGGAGAGAAAGAAGGGAATAATTCAGGCGTTCCTTAAAAACAACATTTCCACCTTCAGCATCACTAATATGTGCTGTACGCCTATTCCTACCCATTTTTATGCTCAATAATTCATCCTGTATACTTATATGCTTGTCGAATAATGCAGAAAAGGGGAAAAATATGCATGCCGATATATACGTCCGTACGGCGATGCGCTTTTGCATATTTCCCCATTTAGTAGAATAATAAAAACTAATGATTTGTTCATTGATAAAATTCCTCACGGAATTCATGAATAATGAGACGTTTTTATTTAGCTACCATGTAAAAATAGGGACATCGTACGAGAGAGAAAGCCCCATTTTACTAATTTTTTTTACGTGCCTTAACACAACCGCTTAAACGTGTAGTGTGCAGTTTATACATTCCCATGAGCGAGTTACACTTAACAACTCCGTGTGTAAATGCTTTTTACCGAAGCAGAAAAATGACTTAAAAGTTGCGTACAAATAAGAAAAAAAAAAAAAAAAAAAAATACATCGCCTTGGCGAACGTTGCAAGTGTCCGCATAAAAAAAGTGGTTAATTCATTTCATTTTTGTTTTTTCCACTTTTTCGACTATATTTCCACATTTCCCGTTTGCCACTTTTCTGCTTGAAGTTAATGCCAAAAAGGATGAATAAAAATTGGGTTAAAAAAAGAGTTTGCTAAACAATATATTCACCCCATGTTCCAGCATCATGTAAAGGGTTATACACTTAAACAAGCGCTCTAAAATGAAATAGAACATTGCACACACTTAAAAAAAAAAAAAAAAAAAAAAAAATTATACATATGTAAAACACACCATATGATAAACACGCTAAAGTGAAAAGGGACAAAAAAAAAAAATTTTTTTTTTTAATTCATTTTTTTAAGGGAAAAAATACATGTAATGTTTAATGTCATTAGCTTACATCTAAAAACTTTACACGTATGTTTTGATCTTACATTTTCATTTACATTTTTTTTTTTTTTTTTTGTGAAAATATCCATTTGTCAAGTTCCCTTTTAAAAATTATATATTTTAATTTGAGTAAAACTTCATTATATATTTGACAAAGTAAAAAAAGGAAGAAAAAAAAGGCTTTATTTTCTTACTTTGTAATTATTATTGCCTCTTTGTGTTTTAAGCGCTTTGCGTATTTTATAAGCATGCCCTCTTTTATTCTTTTCCATAATTATCCTTAATTTTTAACATATGGTGATATTTATGCCATTGTACAACGTAAATGGTATGTTCACTTGGGCTGTCAACGAAAGGAAAAGCGAACGGAGCTATTTTATATGTTCCATTTAATTTTTCGATGTGAATTTTCGACTATTTTTTCTGTTAAATTTTCGATTAAATTTTCGACGCACACATTCGATATGAGTTTCTTACCAAAATTTACGACTTAACTTTTCACTTTCCATTTCGATCTCAATCTTAGACACATCGTAAGGGGGCCCATGTTTGTTACACGAAAATGTATCATCTTGTTATGTAATACCCATTCATCCTGCGTGCTTACTTTACACAAAGAAGGGGCGTTCCTATTGTACAAAAAAAAAAAAAAAATACGCGCCAGTACATGCTTATGTGTGAGCGAAATTGTATACATGCATAAGTGTACTAATAGCGCATGTACACGTTAATGTATATGGTTTATACATACACCACGTGACATACGCAGGTGCATACATTCTGACATATGTACACACACGCGGATACCCCGTTGTAAATGTGCCGCAAGTAAAAGATGCTTAAAAGAGACAGCCTGTCAAATTTGCACATCAAAGAAACAAGAAGGTTCTCTCACAAAAAGGAAAATTTCAGCTATGATTACTCAGAATATTTGAATTTGTGCCTGGAGGAGTACAAAAATAACATATACGATTTAGACTTAATAAACGAAAATGAAGAATGTATGCGAGAGTTGGTAAATTATTATAATTACCTGTACAGGAATTATTACGAAAATGTCATAAACGTGTTTGAGAATAACAACCCTAGTGAAAAGGCTTATGCAAATGAAAACTATGCCGTAAAGTTGGACTTATTGAACAAGAGGCATGTAGAAGCTCTGTACAACATTAGCATTTTAAGTATTTCAGATAAACTAAAGTTTTACATGCTGCGAGGGGCGGTAAAAAAAAGCAAAGACACGAATGATGATGATGATAAAATTGGTCCAGATCACCCAGAAAGGAGCAATGAAAGCAGGACACTTAAGAAAAACTTATTCACAAATCATGGAATAAAGACAAATGGGAATTTCACTGATCGAAACATTAGTGATAGAAACCTTGGTGATCTTCCGAATAAAGGCCCATATGGTGAGAAGAACCCGACAACGTACACAACTGATGACTTATCCTCCAATGATATGAAGCGAGAAGAAGAATTCGATATAATCAAATATTTGTTTTACGTTATGAGATCAATTGAATACTCCCTAAGTTCAGAAAGCGGAAATTTGTCTTCCTTTTATAAGTCTCTTAAAATATATTTCTTTCGGGACAATGTTAATGAAAACTATTATAATCATATTTATTTATTAACCCTATGCTTACACTGTTTGGAAAATATAACAAGTAATATAGTAACCTTTGACATTCGACAAATGGAAAATGAAGAGCTAAATGCAGAAGGGAATGAAAAAAATGGTAATGCTTATTCGAATCCTGTAAAGATGAATAGCCTGCAGAACAACATCAAAAGGAAGTACTCGACATCAAATTTTAGAACCCATTCTTCACCAAATGAGATGAATACCAATTTCCATCAAAATAGCACAGTTCACAATACGACAAATTATGTCAGAAGCACGACAAGGGAATATAACTCTTTCAAGATATTCAATAATAATGTTTATTTTTACAAAATATTTTTTTATATTTTAAATTTCTTAAACTTTTACCTTGAAGATATGATCAAAGATGGATCCCTGCTATACTCTGATATGATGAAAATGCACGCAGAAAGTAACGTTCGCAGGAATCGAAAGGAGCAAATGTTGACATCTTCTCACGTGTTAAATGGAACCACAAATAGCAATTTACCATCCTTTGTTGATAGCAAAGAAGAACTGTTGTTTTGGGGGAAAAACAGAATCACGTACAGTAGCATTTTGCTCAAGTGCTTAAACATAATTAACAATTTAATGAATTTGGATGCCCTGAGAGAGAAAATTATGAATTCAAGTAACGATCTAAATGAGTTAAAAATATTTTTATCGAAATATTACAAGTATTTAAATGAATATGAAGATATCGAAGTGTACAAAAATTTCTATATCAGCTTGTACAAGACGTATATATTCATTTTCCCGGAAGAACTAGAAAAGGAAAACTACTTTTCCCCCATGCTTCTTTTTGAGAATATTGTAAATAATGGAAATTTAATCAGAATGAGAACTATTGTAGACACACTTATATTCTGTTTTAATGATAAAAAATTTGTCTATTTTTTTGAAGAAAACATAAACATAACCAAAGTCCTTTTCATTTTTGTCACGTACTCATCCAGATTGTTAACAAATAAACAATACGAACTAATAACAAACATATCTTTCCTCTTTTACATTATCTTAATTAAATTTCCCAATGTTTCCATAACCATATTTCACATTTTAAATGAAAATAATGATTACATTATGAAATATAATGAAGACAAAAAATTCAATTCCATTTTTAGTAACATAAATGAACACATAAATATGCTGTTCTTATCAACTATACATAAAAACAAAAAGTTGGCGACAGTGATTGCTCTCATCTTTTCCAAGCTAATACATTTATATTGTCAATTTTGCGCAAAAAAAAATAATCAATTAGACAACGTCCAAAATAACACCAACACTCATTTCTCTGCATATGGAACTCATCTAAATACAAATAACTACAGTTTAAGAAATTTAAACAGTTCTTATATCAATGCAAATGGGCAGAATGCAAATGTAACAGCAGGAGCAGGCAATTTAGGAAAAAATGTAAACACCTTGAATTATTCCTACGCGTCCAATAACGATAATGAGGGAGCAAAATTACAGAAAGAAATATTCTGTAGGACATTTGATAATATAAGAACAAATGAAAGAAACACCGTTATCAAAGCTATACTGATGAATCTGCATATAATTCCAGATGTCTATTCCTCGAGTGCCATTTTTCCCGTAGAAGAGAATATCGAAAAAACAAGGTACATCATTGTCATTATTAATTTCCTGTTTACACTAATGAAAACGAAATTTTACGAAACGATACATGAAAATACTTTTGAATATATAGATTATTTCATTGAGGAACTGAAAAAGAGTGTCAATATGAAAAATATAAAATTAGTTTGTGGATATATATCTCTTTTGTTAAATTATTCGTTAAATAAAAAAACCAATAACTTAAATGAAACAGCGGATTTGAAGTCCAGTATATTTATAAAAAATATTCATTATAACAACCAGCCAAATATTATTAAAATACACAAGGCTTTGTACGAATCAGGAGCGCTAACCTTTTTGATATCATCCCTGTATGAATCTAAAGATTCCCTAATAATTTATAACTGTGTTTATTCAATATCTTTTCTACTATATAAAAAGTCCATCCTAGATTTTGACAAAAATATTGAACTTTCAAATATGAAAATAGCCATTTTAAATATAGTTAGACATTATTACAATTTAGACAGCTATTTGGAAAATTACACAGAGAATTTTATTGATTATAAAGGCTTCTTAAAGGGGGGAAGTTCCAAGAAAAATCTAGCACTACACGAAGATGATAATTACAGCACGCTACTGAAAAAATTGAATAAAAGAAATTCATACGAATGTGAAGACATAAATAAAAAATACCTGTATGAAGAGGACAACAGGTACTTGCTAAACGAAAAGAATGATAATTATTTACCAAATCATATGAACTCGAATTATTCCCAAAACTTAAGTAAAAATATTACTAGCAGTGAACATATAGGAATTAAAAATATGTTCCCTTCTTTAAAGTACCAATATGCAAGTGCAAGTTACGAAAATTCCTTTTTCCTTAATTTTGACAAAATATTCTTCGAAACGATAAAAAACAGAAAAAGCTCCTTCAACTTTTATTTTGACACAATATACAACACACAGTATTTATTTAATTTCTTGTTACACAATTTTCTGTTCTATTCGAAGGACGCAGATGAATATTCCAAAAAGTATTTGCTAAACATTTTACTGCATAATAACATAACGAGATCATCTGACATTAGTTTTTATTCGAATAAAATAAAAAA